AGTTCACAGAGCTTCAGGCTTAGATGGCTTTTCTTTTACTGCCGGATAGCGAACATGGCATGTTTCCGTTCGCAGCAGATAGTCTGAACTTCATCGAAGGTGTCGCTGAAACATAAACGAATCCGGCAAAACTTGGCTGTTGGGGTCTACGCTCACAGCCACCGTTCGATGCTGCAGGTGAACCTTCTACATCTGTCTCCAACGTCAGCAACTACAAGGCACCTAAGGCTGAATGCTACGATCCGGCAAGAATCTGTCGCAGCAAGGAGATGCTGATCTACACAGGCAACGGTGCCCGCGCAGAAGTGCGCGATGCCTATGGAGCTTTCTGCAAAGGTCACCAGGACATGGAAAGCTGGATGATCCCCTTTTTCAGTGCTCTGGCGGAAGCGGAGGACTCGCGTCGCAAGCTTATTTCTTACCTGAAGCTGAAGCTGCACTCTGGGGCCCTGATCCATCGTTCAGACATTGCTGATGGGAAGACCGGATATCTTTTGTCCATCGCCGCTGCTCAGCAGGTTTGGATCCCTGAAAAGACGAAGGAACTCTTGACGATCTTAGAAGAATACCTGCCGAAGGTCATTGAGGCCTTCCGCGAGTGGATTACCCCGACCCGCATTCCCCCAAAGCTGTGGCCGGAGGTGTCTCGGAATTTCCCCAACACCACGGGTGCCCAAACGTTGCTGATGCGGGTCATGGACGCGCTGCTCTTCATCGAGGAGCCGGCCAACGAGGAGTTCAAGCGGAATGCGCACGCTGTGCGGGAGCGCTGCACCAACGTGCAACGTGAGCGCCTGGACTTTTTGCTCGAGTCGGTGGATGCTTGGCTTCCCTTCCTCCACAGCAGCGAAGCGAATACGCAGCTCTACAGGGACTGCCAGTTCCTGCTGCTCCTCTTGCGAGCAGTGCACCTCCGCCGCATCCTGCAGATTGGAGGCTCGACTTGGGAACAAACCAAAATGAACCATGAACCAATCCTGATATGCGCGTGTGGGCGATAGCTTTGCAGCTATGCAGGATCTAGCCAGTCATTGAAAGAGAAGCTGGAGACGGTGACCTGGCAAATACTGAAGGCCAAGGGTTGTACTGTAGAAGA